ATACGCATTACCTCGTAAGACAAGCTCACAAAGGTCCCGTCACTTGCATCGCATTTGCTCCAGACTCGCAAAGGATTCTCTCCAGGGGTCTCGACGATTCCTTGAAGATGTGGTCCCTGAAAGATAACAAGAAACCTCTTCTCGAAGTTTATGATTTGGAAAACGCATTTGGAAGGTACAGCTCAATTCCAGCAAATTCGAAATATTAAGTTTGATCTTCAGCACCGATTGTGGCTTTTCACCGAGGGGAGAGTTGGTGTATACTGGCACATCGTCGCCTGGTGAGGATATGCCAGGGAAGCTGATGTTTTTCAATGCCGAAACGTTTGAGCTAGTGTACAAGATTGAGTACCCAGGGAGGGTAGGTTAAATAGTCATCTTCAGCTGTGTCATCAATGCATTTATAGTCTGTGTCTATTAAGTATTCCTTTTCGCGTGAATTACGCATCCGCAATGCGTTAATTTTGTGTGCGCCCAGTAGGTGGGGCCGATTTGAATGCCCAAACAGAGTGCGCGATTGACACAGACTGTATAAGATCTCCTCCTTTTCTTGATACTAGTGTTCCTTACCACACTCATACGTTTTGTGATTGTTCAGTTATGATTTTTCAGAGCTGCACCAAAATTGACTGGCATCCCAAATTGAATCAGATTTTGGTTGGACTTAGCGATGGCACAATCAGGTACGCTTATCTTATGAGTTCTGCTTGCTTTTATCAAAATCTGAATTTCCAGAATTTACTACGATCAGCAGCTGTCAACCCGTGGAGTCATGACGTGCGTCACGAAGCCAATCAAAAGAAATCGTGCCAGCGAGTTTGTTAGAGAAGAGATGATCTTGTCACGTAAGTCCATTGACATCTCTTTTTTGTTGCTTAGCGTGTAATATTACTTTTTCTTGCAGCGCTGACATTGGAAATGTTCCAACCTCGTGGTGAAGAAGGAGAAGAGAAAGAAGTGACAGGTTTCCGGCTCAAGAAGTACCTCCGGATGCGGGATAATCAGCAAAGGCCACAGTTCCGAAAGCCAGCCGACGTGCCTATTGGAAGGAGTGCTAATGGAAGAGGTATTGACTTTAGAGAGTTGTTATTTCAATCCCAACTATTTACGCAAAAATTGCTGTTTTAGTGGTGGCTAGTGGAGGCAGTTTGCATTCGTATGTAGCGCAGCAGATTGGTACTATGAAGAATAAATCCTTCTTGGAAGACACTGATGTTAGGACCAGTATCCTTCGACATGCTGAAGAGGTGCGTCTGGGCTTTTTCTCAGTTTTGCTTGTCTTTTCACTTTACCTGCTGGATTGTTCCCGTTTCGCATCGCTTTCATTTTAGGCAGCGAAACATCCCATGTATGTTGACTTGGCTTACAAGAAGACCCAGCCAAAACCGATCTTCCAAGAAAAAACCACTGCACCCGAAGAAGAGGAGCCTGATACAGAATTACAACCAGTATTCAAGATGCCACGGTTGAATTAAACTCTTTCAAAGGTGCATTGTTTATGTATATATAAAGTTGATAAAGTACATTTTGTGTTCTATCGATTGAAGTATTGACCACTTTACGATACTGATTATTTGCGGTATACATGTGTAGAATTAGGTATGTTCATCTCATATACAGTAGAGAATTTGCTTAGCAAAGCTTAGAGAACGCTTTGACTTTTTCAATCGTAAATGTTACGAATCTCGTGTCATCGTCTCATAATGTATGGAATTTTTTCATCCGTTTGATCACCACCGTTTATTTACAACATTACCTATAGCTTTTGAAAGCAGGATGCTGCAAATGCGACAGTATTTTGAAGCACCACTAAGATTTCTTGAGTTTTACGGCGCAGAATATCTGTAAATAAGCGCAGATTTCGAGCGTTCAACTTTAAAATCGCTGCTGGAAATCTATAAATACAGATTAGTCAAGGAGTGTGCCTCCGATAAAATATGCGTCCAATGATAGTCACTAGCTCTTGCAATGAATTTGCTACTCGTGCATTTGAGCTTTCCATGATAAAGCCACGATCATATGAAGTATAGGAGTTACTTCCATGTCTTCTTCCTACGAATCTTTGGTAACTATCATCTTGCTTGGTAATTCAAATTCATAGAAAAATTATCAAAATTCTCAATACTTATCCTTTTCGATTCGATGCTCGTGCATAGTTCGCAAACCTCCAGGTACTTTTTTTGCTTACTTTTCACCTTTCAGGTTCCATGATTTCTGTCCTGTCATGTGGCCACTGATTTACGGACTAGGTGAGAAATCAAAGGGATTTATTGTTATTGTGGGTGTGTATTATTTGTTTATTTTCGTCTTGTATTGCCTAGAGTCATTTTTTTGTGGAGCTAACATTAGTACAGTCTAGTAGATTTCTCGCTTACTACTGTGCTTGTGTTGAAACTTATGAACTAATAGCTATCCTTTGATTCAATGGAATAGGCGGCTGGAAGGGCGAC